GTATTTATCAGTTCTCTTATAATAATAATATTAGGTATGGGTTATGGGGGTGAAAGATCATTATCTTATAGTTTGTTAGCCCAGTAGTATGTTAGCCTCGTAATCCAATGCTTCCCGTTTAACCAGTCATAGGTAACATCTGTGGGGATAGGATTGAAAAAGATATTGCTTGACCTGAAAGGCACCGTAGTCGCATTTGTCGTCATTTCTATCCAGCAAACCCCATTTAATTAGATTGGATTTTACTGGGGGGCCACCACAGTTCTGATACGGTTACATTCCCAAGGTTTTCCAGTCGCTTAAAATGCCGTGTGGTGGGTCCTCTCTAAGTGGATAGTGGGAGGGATTCATCTAGGGCGTGGCTTAGGAAAAGGCGTCTAGATTTAACTCTACTTGGGGCCGCACTCTTGGTCAAAAATTTAGTGACGAACATCAAAGGTTTGCTTTAGATTCTCAGTATATTCATGAGCTTTTCTGCGTAAATCGGGGCTCGTAAAACCTGCGTCCTTGTAAAAGTTTTCTAAGGGGATGAGTTTGATCCAACCTCTCACCATTCTGCCTGTTTCCATCACACTTTTCGCATTAATTATCGATTATAGGTATAGAAAGTGCTTAATAAAACAAAAACTTGTTTGATTATGATACAAAATACAGGCTGTTTGATTTAAAATAATGGAGAAAAATACAGAAATTTTAGTTTTGACTGGCCCTGTATTGGCCTGTATATATCAAACAAGATTGCAAATTATGGTCGACCGAATTATGAAGAAGACACTATTATACAGAAGAATTATGAAGAAGACACTATAGTGTGACCAACGGATCTGTAGCTACGGGGTATCGGCAGGGGAACGCAGTTGTAAACAAAACACGCCCAATTTCATTCATAAAATAGGCATGGGCGTACGGTGTTACATGAAAATAATGTGTATCATAAATATAATACTCAGATTAATAATTTTTTTCAAAAAACTTTATGCTGTTTGAATCGTTACTGTTGAGTTACCAGATAAACACTAAAAGCTTTTATTAAAGCTCCCTTAAATATTTTGAATCATCTTATTATTGTGTTATTAATATAATAGAAGAAATAATTACAGCTGGGGGTTGGAACCTTTGGTGTTACACAGCAAAATAAAACACTAAATCAGTACAATACGCCAAAACACTTTTAATTTTACACTGGACGCACGTTTCGCTAACCATGTCTGCCATCAGCAGATGATCAAAACTCCCTCAAGAGTCTTGAGGTATATTTATTTATATATCTGTACTAACTATATTTTTTTCTATAATACATAATTTTAGATATAACTATTTCCAGCAAAAAAAAATCTTGAAAATAGTTAACTTTGGAAACGCAAACAAAACATAATTTTACTCACCAGTAGATCCAATATTGCCTATTACACCAGATATGGTATCGCTCCACCAGTAGTTTTTAAAGATTAGGTCATTGTCTACCCATATGTTTCATCCAAATAGATAATACTTGGCTATATTTTCGAATTTCGCGTATATATTTATATCTCTCTGCAATATAATGGGCCGCTCCATTAATATTTATCTGTTATTTTGACATTTACGCCAAAAGAATAATTTGATTTTAATAACCCCTAAGCGTTTCCCTGCAAAACGAAAATTCGATTCTTCCTGCAATTTTGCAAAAAGCTTTCTAATTGCGGGGACGAGTTTGAATTCGAGATAAAATCTATTTATAAAATTCCTGACCACTTCGAAAAAGTCGTCGAGCTTTTCGACAGCAGTCTCACGTGGTCGTTTCTTTCCAGAGCTGGATATCATTTTATCGGGGTTAGTTTTCAGCCTTTTTTTTATCTTCTGTGTGATTTTTTTATAGCCGATACGCTAACTCCGGTATAAAAAAAATATCCGCTCAAGTTTACGTTTAAGCGGCAACTTAAGCGAACTCTCCTTTCTGTAGTTTCTTCATCGCAAACCTTATTATGAACACAAGGAAATAAACCAAATGAGATTTCATCCACGTTATTATTAACTTACCTATATAAATTAGCTATTATTTCTCTTGTCTGACTATGTAGCGTCTTACCCTTAACAAATTTATTCATTTTAAAATACAAATATACGATCAAACTTGATATTAATAATTAAAAACTATGAACGATAAACATTATAACAAGATAACAAAACAATAAAACACAACTTAACTATCAAATATACGAAAAATATAGGAATAAAGTTTAGGATAACCGGTATAAAATAATGAAATAAAGTAATAATGATCAAAAAATGACACCGCCACTGGATATTTCAATAGTATTCAATATTCCTACTCTTTTCAGAAGAGACCCTGAAGTTGGGGATAAAGCAAGCGAATAGGAAAGGCGTAAAAGCCATGGCAACCGCGTGGTAACAAATCCTGTGACGTGTTCTCGCCAATCTTGTTCGATGAATAGGCGGCCATGCGCGGCGATGCCGGTTTGCCAATGATATCGTTGAAAAATCTTCAACTTTCATAATAAGCAGATTATACAGAATGAAAAAAATAAGTTATTAAATAAAACATATCGAACAATATGATCTACGTTAAAATTCCTTAGTAATATACGTCAGAATATATGCTAAACACATTATATATAATAAAAATATATTAAATTTATAGTTCATGTCTGGCAATTTTGCAATTTTATAGATAAACGTGGCAATGTCGATTTTTTTTTTTCTCGCATTCCTTCCGTAGCTTCAGATCCGCTGGTCAAACAGTATTATACATACTATATTTTACAGTGTTTTGTGTTAAAAATTTTAAATTTTTCAATTTTAGAATTTTAAAACGACTTTAAATGCGCAGTAAATTTAGTTTAAAAACGGTTATATTTCAAAAACCACTCAGTATAGCATTATTATGATATCATATTTTTGGAATGGAAATCCACTGAGATAAAAATATACCAATAATATTCTATATAAAAATATGCAACTTTGGTTTGGAAATATGTATGAATCACTGAATATGTTGATTGAGTATGACTTTCACAATGTGTACCATTGCCCCCATATTACGTAAAAAACTTGAAATAAAATTCACAAATCAAAATCTTAAATTCTACTGACAAGGAGATTCAGAAACGGTAAACAGGAGTTTTTCTCTTGCGTAATCTTGAATCTGATTGAGTTACTTCGTGAATTAAGATGATTCGTCAACACATCATATCAATACTGAATCATTGTCTACCACATTCAAAGTAACCACCAGTTTGGGTTTCGAGAAAGATATTCCACTATTCAGAAGATACATCGGATTAGACCCGCAATATAACTCAAAGTCTAGAGGACAAAAAGTATTGCAAATCAGTGTTTCTTGATGTAAGTCAGGCTTTCGACAAAATATGGCATACTTCACTAAATTAAAAATGATCTTCCCATGTTTTATTTTCCACTATTGAAATCCTATTTAAATGGTAGATAGTTTAGAGTCTTTAGAATAAGTGAGGATGTATTTCAAATTATAGCATAAATGCAGGTGTTCCACAAGGTAATGTCCTAAGACCATTACTTTATGTCGTTTATACAGCATACTTTCCCATAAACAATGAAACAACAACGGCTACTTTTGCAGATCACACAGTAATTATGGCTCTCAACAAAATGCCGGAAACAGCTTCCTTGATATTACAAAGACACTAAATGTAATAGAGGCATGGTTACGTGATTGGAAAATGAAAATTAATCCATCAAAATCGGCCCAAGTAACTTTTACTTTAAATAGAGACCTGTGCTCTCCAGTATACTTAAAAAAAATCTAATTCCGCAGTTTTTCTTCACCAAGTACTTAGGTATGCACTTGGATACTAAGCTTACCTAGAAAGAGCACATAATAAAGAAACGTAAGAAAATAGATTTTAAAATAAAACACTTGGTTAATAGGAAGAAGATCTAAACTTTCGCTAGAGAATAAACTTCTTTTATGCAAAACCATAATAACACCTATTTGGACAAACGGAGCAGAACTCTGGAGATGCACTAGTAAATCAAATAGAGCCTTAATACAAAGGAGCCAATCCAAAATTCGACGGATGATATAACAGACGCACCATGGTATATCTCCAAACATACTCTACATGAAGAATTACAAATTCCCGTACGTCAAATAAATCATCCAAACTCGGAGCAAAAAATATTTCAATAGACTACATGATCACACTAATACCTTACTTTAGCCTCTACTTGAACCAGTATCTACAAAAAGACTTAAAAGACAATGGCCATCTGATTTGCAAGAATATTAAGAAGGATTTTTCGCTGGAAAAGACTTTATCACGTTAACTGGAACGTCATTGCTCTCAAGTCATCAAATTATATAGCCTATAGAATTTCTTTGTAATTTTATTCTGATTGTTAATAAATTATAATAAAAAATTAAAAAAAATCAAACTAACGTCCGTCGTAACAAAAAGATACTGCATTCAATTTGTAAAATATTTCATTATTATCACTCTGTATATTTATGAGAATATTTTTAATAAGCGCTCCCATTGCTTCCATCTATGAGTATACAGGTCACGGTAACATATAGAAACATGATATTAAAAGTAAAAAAAAAACTTCATTTTGATTCTATATAGCATTCTAAAATCAGTAATACGAGGTTCAGTTATACATGTATTATGTAAATATTCTATAATAAATGTTTTTGTTTCGCTTAGTTAGGTCAATTAAATAAGTTATGAATACAAATTATAATTATTTTACCCTTTTATGTTTTTTATGCTCTCTGGCACTCAATTCTTAAAGTGCCACCCTTGAATTTGGAGTTATATTAGTTTAGGACACCAATTTAAGTTTGTCGCGCAATGTTTAGCTCTATATATTTATGATTTGTTAATATTTTTATGACAAATTATACCGAACAAAATATATTATTTCTTATTATATATTCTAACCATGTCTTTAAACAATAGCAATATATCAACTCATATATAGGTATCATCTTTTATTTGTTTTGTGGTTGTCGTCAGCTGTTGTACCGTTAGCTTAAGATGATTCTGGCCATAGTGCCTTGACACCAGCAGTAAGTTTTCAGGTTACAGCGGAACGTGTTATAAGTACCCTGTGCGAGTTATATAAAGTACAGTAAGTAAAACATTATCATAATATTGCCACACTAACACTAAAATCTCATACTACAACTATAATTCCAATTCCAAATTGCTTTGCGTTGAAAATTTAACGTTTTAAATTATAAAATTACAGATTAAAAAAATTATTAAATAACAGATTATTAAATATTTGATCAGTAGGTACATAAGAGCAAATAATATAAACCGAAACGGTAAAATAGAAGGATCAAAAAAATGTACAGGGTGGACCATTATGGTTGTTTTTATAGGGTATCTCGGAAACCGTGAGAAATATTCAAAATTTGATAGTGCAGTCTCGGATTATTTTGAAAAAATCACAATGGCGCAACCGGATCGTGGCTATCTTGATCGATTTCGAAGCTACAGGGATTCTCAAATTTTGTACTTTTTGAAGATGTTCGATAGTTTGTTTATTTCAACAACTACGCAAAAATGAATTAAACATTCTGAAGGCACTTTTCTGAGTAGAATGCAGTGGAGTAGTCTGACTTTTTTCAAAAAAAATATTTTTTTAGATATCTATTAATTATACTTATTTTTTTTTTGAAATAGAACCCCCTGTATATTTTTAAATTTCCTGATTTAGTTTGACATGAGCTTCTCGAAAATATGTAACACTTATAATTATTTTCACTATTAACTTTAAAATTCCAATTTATTTAAAGATATCGACTTTCCTCTTGGTAAGTCATGCAAGTGAATATCTACTTTCAAATTAATCCATGTATTAGCAATTAAATAAATTCGAACAATACGAAGCAAATAAAAAATAAGTGTGACAGAAACAAAAGATCATATTTTAATACAAACTCAGCAGGTTACTTCAATTAGGTTTCTCAGTTAATATAAAAAATAAAAACACAAAGACTACATTAAATGTTCAAACTGCTGCCCATTATTATCTAGACGGAGTTGGCACCGTCCCTGCACGCCGGCGCTAACAGCATTTCGAATGTGTATGTTGGTTACACTTTGAAAAGCCACAACAAAACTATCTTGTAACTCTTCTAATGTTCTATTTGCATTTCGATAAATTTCGTTTTTTTTTAAATCTCCAGAGAAAGAAGTCCAAGGGAGTGATATCAGGAGACCTAGATGGCTAGGATTAAACTATTTTCTGACCTTCTAAAAATGGCTGGCTTTGGTTGCTCGCGCTCAAAATACCGCTCAAAATATAAAACAGCTGCCATTTGCTTATGATTGTTAGACTCAATATAACATTCTAACATATTATATTTCTCAAAATTTTCAAATTTACTCATTCTTTTATTATTTAAAATACACACACTTCAATCTGTTGAAATGAAATGTCACGCATCCATCAAAGGTATGTCCCTATCACCATGACAACCGTTTACTTTGTTACTCGGCGCGGTCTACTACTAACTGGATATTTTAAGAAAAATTTGAAATGTTGAGGTTAATAGTCAAAATAAATATAGAATGTTATATATTTTCGAGAAGCCCATGCCAAGCTGAATCAGGAAATTTAAAAATATACAGGGGTTCTATTTAAAAAAAACAGAAGTATAGTTAATATCTAAAAAAATATTTTTTTCGAAAAAAGTCTGACTACGCCACTGCATTCCACACAGAAAAGTGCGTTTAGAATGTATAATTCACTTTTGCGTAGTTGCTGAAATAAACAAACTATCGAACATCTTCAAAAAGTACAAAATTTGAGAATCCCCCTGTAGCTTCGAAACCGATCAAGATAGCCACGATCCGTTTGCGTCGGCATTGTGATTTTTTCAAAAAAAGAACCCAAAACTTCAGTATCAAAATTTGAATATTTCTTACGGTTTCCTCGATACCCTATAGAAACAACCAAAATGGTCCACCCTGTACAAATAGATAAAAATGAGACGGTTATATTGGTGTCCAAGCCACCTCTGACGCCGATTTTTTTCTATCGATTAGTATACAGGTTGGGCCGAGTTGCATTCAGGAAATTTTAGCAACATATTCTGCAGCTAAAAATAAGTAAAAAAAGTCCGTATAAATTTATGTATTAAAATGCGTCATTTTGGAGATACAGAGTGTAGATCATTTCATCATTTTTATTTCGATTTTTTCCAAATAATTTGTGAACCAATGTCAATAGGCTTGGTGGATTTTCCGCCGGTGTGATAGTCTTAATAAATGCACTAGAAAAAAACTAAAATACTATGACAAAACCACGATTTCAGTATTATTTTAATGCGATCAAAATGACGGCGGCCGCGGCGGCCGCGTGAAATAAGTACTGATAATTTCTAATTTCTGCCGTTGAAGCGCTGCGATCGGAATTTGTTGGAATTAGTTGAAATGCAGCAAGCCTATATTTGAATAAAAATTGGTATCAGCATGTATCAGAATGTTTTTTTTTATATAAGAAATTTGATTGCGATTGCAATATGACTCCTACTTGTGAGGGGAGCTACCTACATATTTTTAAACAAAATATTGTACCGTTTTGCTCAATGAACCTGAACTAATAACTTTCTAGATTTTTTTTGAAATATGACATTATACTTTATGTATGGAAACGGTCGATTATTAGACGGAGGATCAGCACCCTGGAGGCACTTATCAAAAATAATTTTTAGCAATTCAATGAGAATTGAACGACCTGTCTTAATAAGTTCAATATTGATACCGCCAGGCCAGGGTGCTTTGCCATTTTTGACTTGTTCTACCGCATCTAACACTTCTTTATTCGTTATATTTGATACATCACTGGAATTGTCAGTGGTGTCTTCTGTATTGGTTTTGGCATACTCTGGTCTGTCTTTAGTGCGGAGGTTCTTATAGTGCTGTACCCATTGGGGCATGCTGAGTATACTCATACCACCTTTATCAATATTATTGGATCTAAGAGATTTTATACACTTCCAAGCTTTGTTCGCTCTTGTATTTCCCATGCTTTCCATCTATGTTTTCACACCATTGCACCAGTACTCATTTTGTGCTTTTTTTATTTATTGTGTCACTAAGCGCCTCTTAGCTTGATACCCAGTTCGATCTTCTTTAGGTCTTAGTTTGCAGCCACTTCTGATACGCTTGCTTTTTCTGGTCTACGAGTATCTTGTGTTCTTTGTTCCACCAAGGGCGTTTCTTCGGCTTTGACTCTTTGTGACCGATTTTATTTCCATTGTTTCAAATGCTTGCCTGTATTAAACTGGGTTAATTGGTACAGCGCATTTTCTGTGTATATGCCCTATATGCATGCTCACTTTTGTGCAGTGGTTTAACATTTAATTTATTAATAGGCCTAAATGATTTAGCCCAGTCAGTTTTGCTTATTTTGGGCATAAAGATTACTTTCGCTCTTCTCCAGATGGTTTGGTTTTTCCAGTTGACATTCCCTTGCTAAGCTGCTTCTTGTAATGTTTAATATATGGTGAGTTTAAATAATTAGGTTAATGTTTAATAGATGGTGAGTTATAACCGTTCTTTAGAAGGGCAGGAAAAACATATTTACTCCTGCTGCTTTATAAGGCTGAAAGATGTTAATAGCCCATTTCACGTTTTGTTGTGTTATTACTAGCTTGGCCACCTCCCACTCTTCCCTGCAAGGATTGTAAGGTGCGGTCGGAGCTACATGTGTGTCAATAAATATGCTATAGTCTGTGAAACAAATAACTTTGAATTTGACAGTTCCCGTGGGCTTTTCTAGTGTTAATTTTATTAGGTTAGCAACTTGCGGCCATGCTGACGCGATGCCGTCTCTAATAGAACAGCCTCGGAGCGAGATTTTTGACGTCATGCTAGTTAGATACTACGGATTAATAAATATGTTGTAGAATACATGGAAAAGATAATTATTCCTCGTATTTTTGGTTTGTATTTTAAAAATGATATAGTTTATATGAAATATACATAATATACAATTAATAAATACAATATATACCTATTTATAGTAATAAATACATTGGCAAATAAACTATGAACCATACAAATGCAGCAAATGTTTTACGATATACAAATAATAAATAGGTACATAAGATAATGGGTAAAATGTAAAATATATTTTAAATTTTGGGGTTTGAAAATCGATCTAATTTAACAAAAAACATTCAATGATAGTAAGACGGAATGTTCCCTACAGGGTTGGGACGATTTAAGTCATGATGTATTATTATTTGCATTTACAAAATTTATCCCAAGAAAATAAAAAAATTTAGAATAATTTTACATATCAAATGACAGCGATCTTTATTTCATCGCTGACGCCTTTTTTTCTATTATATTGTATTATTTGCAAATATAATGTTTCGAACATTGATACTTGCAAAATATACATATAAATTTTGTGAATGCAAATAATACATCACTATTAGTAGATATTAAATATTTTTTGTTAGATTAGATTGACAACCCCAAAATTTAAAATATATTTTACATTTTACCCATTATCTTATGTACCTATTCATTATTTGTATATTGTAAAACATTTGCTGCATTTGTATGGTTCATAGTTTTATTTGCCAAAGTATTTATTACTATAAATAGGTATAATAATAATAAAAATAAGTAATGTATATATTGTATTTATTAACTGTATATTATGTATATTTCATGTAAACTATATCATTTTTAAAATACAAACCAAAAATACGAGGAATAATTATGTTTTCCATGTATTCTACAACATATTTATTAATCCGTAGTATCTAACTAGCGTGACATCAGAAATCTCGCTCCAAGACGAGAGCTATTAGAGATGCTATTAGATAAGCTATTAGAGATGGCATTGGTCTGATATTTAGAAATGTCAAAAGCTGATGACATTTTACTTTTGACAATTATAAAATTTTTGCAAGAAGAGGAAGAACTGTCACTTATTTTATTATTTTCCTTTTCTATTTACCTATCTGATTCGTTCAGGCACTCAATTTAAAGAATATCAGTAACTTTTTTGACAGAGGGATTTTATATTTGCCATGTTGGTAAAAAATAACGGTCAAAATTCAAAGTTATTCATTTTATAGACTATACCTGCAAAGTGTG